GGTGGCAAAGATACCTGCAAAGGATTTATTAAAAGTCCCACCAAACTCTGTGGGCTATGAATGAAGGGCAGACATATTCCCAGCACAATAGAAAGAGGTGATTTGGCGAGCCTGTGTCCAACATTTACAAACTTGAATCAATGCTGAGGGAGTGCCTCAGCTCTCTTCTACAACTTCTCCCTACTTTATTTTTTAACAAATAGTTGCCTCATTTAAAGATGAGTAGTAGCAAAGAGAAACTAGTTACTAGTGCATAATATAAGCCACTGAAATATTTATTCATTGAATAGAAAATCATTAATTGTATTACAGATCAGCACTGTATTAGGTGGCTTTGCTATATTAGTGAATAATACAAAGATATCTGCTCTCATGAAAAGTCACTCCAGCAAGGAAGACAGGCAATACACAATCAACATAAAAAGCTAAAGAAATTGCACAGAATGTTAGAAAGTAATAATTGTATAAAAATTTTGCTGAAGCAGAGGGCAAGTAGTAGATTAAATACGGCAGTCAGGGAGACCATACTGAGAAGGTGGCAACTAAGCAGAGGCTAGATAGAGGCACAGAAACTAAGGAATTGGATTTCTGGTAGAAAAGCATTTTAGGCAGATGGAAAGGCCCTGAGGTGTGCATTCCTGAAACATTAAAGAATCACTAGACCAAGGAGAAGAAGCTACAGACGAGTAGGAGTGAAGATCAGAAAGTTGATGAATGTGGAAGTAGGCAAGAAGAGGAACCCTCAGATCACATAGGCCATTTTAAGCCATTGTAAGGACCTTGGCTTTTACTCCAATGGAAATGGGCAAACGTTGTAGGGTTCTGAGCAAAGGAGTGACAAGATCTGACTAATGTTCTAAGATGAAAACCCTATTTTCTCTGTTGAGAACAGGCTGTTGATGAGCAAAGATAAATGCAAGAAGACCTGTTAGAAGCTACTTCAGCAATCCAGGTACAAAATAATGGGTAGCGGTAGCTCATAACCCATCATGAGCAAGGGTAGTAGTAGTTTAGATGGTAAAAATGGTTGGATTCTGGATATAAGTTGATAGAGCCAACAGAGTTTGTGACATATTGAAAGTGAGTTGTGAGGAGAAGAATAAAGGATGATTCCAAGATTTCCAGACAGAGCATATGGAAGGATGAAATTATCATCAGCTAGAACTGAAAAAGTTGATGCTATTCAGCAAGTATAAAGTGAAAGATCAGGAGTTCAGTTTTGGAAATGCTAGATTCGAAGCACTTACTTCCTTAATAAAGTGTCCGGGTACAGTCATC